GGAAGGGAGAGAGGGAAACGGGAAGGAAGGAGGGAGGAAGGGAGGGAGGGAGGAAGGGAGGAAGGAAAGAATGCAGGAAGGCAGGATTCATGCTCACTGTAAACAAAAATCTGAACTGTACACAGCTCTGCTGAGATACGCAGTTTGGTGTATGGATGTTTCTTCGGGTTTTTTTTTTTCTGAGCATAGACTAACGTGCTTTTTAAACAAAAATGAGGTTACCCCCTGGACACTGCTGAGCAAACTGTTTTCTGCCCCTCCCTTATTTAGCCATATATCACCAACATCAAATAACTTTACAGGTTTATTTTTAATAGCTGCCTCAGAATCTATTACACGGGTTTATCACAGCTTACTTCACAAACCTGCTATTAACAGAGTCAGAGGTTTGCCTCTGTTTCTCACTCTGCTTCTGCCACATCTCTCGCTGCATATCTGGGTGCTGGGGCAGAATAAAATCCCAGGAGTTAAATCCCAGGGTCACAGGGTTTGTGCAGTTAGCGCTTTAACCAATCGTGGCTTTCACCTTTCAGAAAGTCGTGCCTGTATATACTCCCACCATTGTAAGATGGGTCTTCTGATGAACTTTGTGGGAGCGAGTGTGGGGCTGTTTGTCTGTTTTCACTGGTTTGGAGGTGTAAGAGATTCACAGATGTGAAGATCAGAACCAGGCCAGCAGATGACCGCAGAGGATCAGACAGTGCCCGGAGCCCTGGGTTCAGACAGACGTTTGCAGAGACCTCAAGGCTACCGCTTCCTGCCTTAGGTGCCTTAAACGGGTTTACTTAAATCTCACGACGTCTTGTATTTATCAAGAACACCTTTGAGGAATGTGAACATTCTGAGGTAGTCTCCAAATTCTTAATTATCCAGAAGAGCCCCATCATGGCTCTTTGGTAACCAGCAAAAAACATGACGACCTTTTTCTATTACACTTTTTTGAAAATCTAGGCAGGTAATTTCATCTCTTCATGATTTTTGTGCTGAACGCAATTTAAATTAAAAAAAAAAAAACTTTCCTTGAATGAGAGTGTCTGCATCATAAAATAGAGCACTGAAACAATGATTTCCATAAAGCCATGCTCTTTATGAGGCTACTGCTGTTGTGTTTGCAGACCCTCCCTCCGCTGAGAGTGCCCCTCCACGTTCCCTCTGTCCCTTCCCTTAATGACGTGTGCACACACTCATGTAAGCAAGCGGGGCAGCCACAGGTAGACTGCTGATCATCCTAACAAAGAACCCTTCCCTAACACTGCTGGAAATTTCGTCTTACAATTCTCTTACGAGGAATAATCCAAAGGAGAAGGAATTATTGCAATAATTTATTTTTAAAAATTGACTTGAGGAAAAGCATTTTTTATTCTAAATGTCCTGGTTAATTTTCCACAGTAATCAAACTTGCAGATTAATTGCTCAGCTCTCTATCTTCATTTTAGGGGTATGACTTTTGTCATGGGTTCCTTGCTAGTCTCAGTGGCTTTGGAATTATAAGTTGGAGGAGGCCTCATTGAAAAGCATTTTTATTCAAAACTTGATCCTTCTGGGGTGGTATATGCACATGTTTGTATGTATATATAAATATACATACAAATGCACAAAAATGTACATGTATTTGTAGGCATATTTGTGCGTATGTGTATATATATATACATATTTGTATTCTCGCTATGTAATCATATGGTATATATGTATAGTTTGGGAGGATGTATGCATATTTACATATTTGGGGTACAGGTCTCATGTTTCCTTAGTAAATCCAGTAGAGGCTATTTAGGCTTGTGGAACATGGTGTGCATGGGGGCAGCGCTTTTAACTCCCTTCAACCCAGCAGTGTGTCTCTGCTACAGGTTCTTCCTCCTTCCTATCCCTTTATCCTCCTGAACACAAGCTGGCATCCAAGACCACCTGGGACCACCCCGGGAAAGACCTGGAGAGCTGATTTCAATATTTTCTCTCCTCCTGGTAAAATATTTATTGAAACTGTGCAGAGTGAGAAGTCTTCCTCTGGTTCAGAAATTGTTTGCCTGTAAACACACTGACCTGGATTGGGGGAGCCAAGTGAGACTGGAGAAAATAAATAACCAGCACATTCCCATTATGCGGGCGCCCAGGCTTCAGGGGAGACGGCAGGGGTGAGATGGGAGCCACCGCTGGTGCACAGCACAGACAAACCCTCCGCTCCAAAGGATATAAAAAATGATGACTGAAAAATGTTCTGTCTCTTTGGGCTGTGGCCATGTTTTTAGTGGTTAATGTTTTTATGGTACTATTCTTTGGGAGGAAAAAAATGTATTCCTGCAAAGATGGACTAATAGAAAATTGTTAAGAACGAAGAGCCAGAAAGAGAAGTGACACTGACCCTTCTCCCTGCACACTACCCCCTCATAAAATGAGGGAGCTGGGGAGGGGGAGCAGGAAGCAGGGCAAGGCTGGGCCACGCCTGGGGCACTCACCGTTGACAAGCCTGTATTTCTGGGCCAGGAGGGCAGCCTGCAGACTTTTCCCACTGCCCACGGGCCCGAGCAGCAGCACCCTCGGGGTGAACGGGGCATTAGTACGATGGTTGCTTTGGACATAGGTCAGAGCTGGAAAGAGAGGATATGAAGATAATCAACCCAGGTCCTAAAGAACGGGGAAGCAGCTGGCAGCCCTCTGCTTTGGCTCTTTTAATGGCAGTAACTCTTCTTCTCTTTCACAGCACCATGAAAGCCCTCTGTACATCTGCCCAGCAGCCAAAGGTGAAGAGGCAGGGAAAATAAGTACATGGCAGGCCTGGGCACCAAGGCAGGGAGCAAGCAGCGAAGTCCACAGAAGCCACCCACTGAGCGCTGCCCTGGAACTCCTCCAAACACGGTGCCGGGGTCTGCACATCTTCCCAGGTTGAACTAGGGCTGGCTGAGTTGCAGTTGGGAGGCTGGTCCCAGGATGTGATAGCACTCTATAGGGCTGGTGACTTTTCACACTGAATCAGGCTGAGCCTCCTAACTGGAAGCCCAGGACTAGGCTGGTCTCCTAGAAGTGCATGCTGGCTTTCTGCTAGGTGCACTTGAATGTCAGACACAGGCTTTGATAAACACATCCAGCCACATGGGGGCTCAGTGCCCAGGGACTTCTGAAAGACTCGAATTGGTGGAGAGTAATTTGTACAGCTGCACTCTGGTGACACCAACGTCGCTGTGAGTCTCCAAAGAGGCAGCAATCAAATAGGTCACAGGGGTGGACGAATGTAGCTGCATGGCCCTGGCCTGTGGTGTGCCCCTGGCATTTGGTGAACAAAGAAGTGAAGACATGGGGTGAGTGTCTCCCACAATGAGGCCACCTGCACCACAGGGGGCACTGGATGCCGAGAAGCCACCCGGAAAAGCTACCGAACATCAAACCAGGTCACCTCCCGCCAGAGCTCAGAAGCAGGGAGCTGTGAGAAAAGGCTGATGAGGCTATAAAGGGCAGCATTTCAGGCACCTGAACCAGGGGAGACGCCCAAAGATGAGGCACCAACCTGTGCCAGCCCCCAAGCCAGCCTTTAAAATGCGTCTCCTTCCCCAGGGAGACCTTCCCCCTCCTGCCAAGACCCCAGTCTGTCCTGTGCAAAGTCAGCCACAGGTGCCCCGTTACACCTTTCTGCCAGTCTGCCTTTGCCAATGTGCCTTGCAGTGGATTCTGTGCTGGGTGAGGGGCCAGGCCATCGCGCCTCCTTCAGGAACGTACCATCCAAGAACCAGGCAGGTCCCTCATCGTCAGCACTACCACCATTTGGGGCCAGATGATTCTTTGTTGTGGGGCTGTCCTGGGCACTGCGTGATGTTGAGAAGCATCCCTGACCCTTACCCGCTAGGTGCCAGTAGCACAACTGCAAGGTATGACCACCAAAGAGCCTTTTCAGACATTGCCAATGTCCCCAGGGGTGCAGCAGGAGAAAAACTGCCCTGGATTGTGAACTGCTGGGATATGTGCATGGTGAAAATCCTGAATTCTGAAATCCTTGCAGGACTTTTAAATTGGAAGGGCCATTAGAGATGCTACAGTCCCCTCTTCTTCAAAGGCACAGACGAGTTAAACTGGACCGTCTTCCAGGTTGTGATCAGCATCAGTGGCATGTACTAATTGCTATGACAAACACACTACAGGCATCATCGCGTTGGTTGGACCCAGCAATCCCATGAGGGTTGTGTTACTCATGTCCCATTTTACAGAAGAGCCCATCAGGCTGAGACGTGGCAGAGCTGGGGCAACTCTCCCAAACCTCCTGCCATGGGTAACCATTCCTCCACTGAGAGAAGCCCAAAGGAAGCTACTCGGGCGAGGCTCTCTTTCTTCTCAGACCTTCCATAATCCTGTGCATCTGAAAAGCACAAATACTACAGGCAAAGCAGCCTGCTTACAAATGATGCTTAATTTACAGTAAATAACTAAGTTAATTAGAAGTAATGATCCCCCAGACAGCCTCAACATCTAATTATTCTTTTTTAAAATATGTGGTTGCTGGATGCACTGCAGAGAGATTAAAAAAGCACACAGAGAGAATTCTGCATTCCAATTTTCAATTTATCTCTCTGCATTATTAATTAATAATAATTAATATTCAGACACTCACATTTTTATTTACAATTCCAGGCATGAATTCTTTATGAACGATCATATGAACTTTTAAATTTAATTAAGTAATTTGGAAGTAATTAATGTGTAAATTCAGAATCGTGGCATAAGACGAATGTTGTGGTTGTTTATCTTAAGAGTGCAGTGTTTGCTACTAAACACCCTTCCGAGATGCGAAATCACTGGGAAATTATGAGCCATCATAAGCCTGGCATTTCTTCTTTAAGTAGCATCATTTTCTACTTCTCTTAACCCACCCATTGGCTGATTGCCCCCTTCAGAGGGCGAGACTGTTCAGTCCACGCCGGTGAGCGTTGCATTTCCGGGCTCAGTGTAGCAGTGAGGTTTATGCACCGAGTCTGCTGGCAGGAGAGGGTGCTGGGAGAGTCAGCAGACACGGGCTTGAGGGCGCTCGAAACCACCTCCCCAGCAGAATAGAACTTTTCTTGGAGAGATTTGAGAGAATATACGAAAAAAGGACTTTGTAAACTGTCAAGCGTCTTAAATATCTGTGATGCTCCCTGCATCATAAACGCTTCATTTACCTGACACTGCGCGGAAGGGAATAACTAGATTTTGAGATGACTGTAGCTCAGCAAGACTTTTAAACACAATAATACAGCTGTTTGGGAATAGAATTATTCTGCCTTGCCCTCGCCTATTTGGACAGGGTGTTGAACAGCGATAGGCGCTAGGGTGTCTGATGTTTACTGAGCCCTTTCCCTGCGCAAGCACTGGGCTTGTGGCTGTAGACACATGATTTGGAGAATCCCATTTAATCCTCACCTGGGAGGAGGGCACGCGTTTTGGTCCTATTTTAGGACCAAAACCAGGGCTCTGAGGAATTAGGAGAATTGCCGGAGACTGCACAGATGACCTGTGTCAGGGCTGAGATTGGGACACGTGGCCCAGCCTCACACAGGCTGCCTGCAGTTGCTCCCGCGCAGCTGTGAACACTGGCCGTGGCTGCGGACAGCAATGCAGTGCCGGGCGTGGGGCCACGCATTTCCATCCTAAGTGAAGCATACCGCCTGAGTTGTGTTGTGTGTGTGTGTGTGTTTGTCTTCATGTTTATATATTTTTTGTTTCTTCTCCTTTCAAGGTCAGGCTCAAACTTCTTGCTACCACGTCCCTCCCACCCCGTCCCTCACCTCTCCTCCTCCCAACCCCATCACCACCAAATCTGCTGTGGCCAGAGATGTGCCCACGTCAGTGTGGGACGCTAGCCCAGGGTGTCCAAGTGGGGCACCCCCAGGGGCTCTGCACACATGCGTTTCTGGGCAGGGAACTCAGGTCATGACTCCCAGGCATGGCCACTATCAGAGTAAGGGACAAAGCGGTAAAGGGCACAGTGAACCCTGCCCTAAGCTGCCTGTCCCGGGTGGGGCTGCCAGTTTGTGTTTACCTTGGTAGAAGACGTCCACACACGGCTGGTCAGCACTGATGACCTTGAGGATCTTGGGGTAGGAGGGGATGATCCTGACGATGTTCCTGTGATACTCCAGCAGTTTCTGAGCCGTCTCCAGCTCTGAGATGCCCTCTGGCACCATCAGACGGTTCTGAGTTTCAGATTCAGGTGGCCAGTCAAAGGTGGTGTGATAAATCTCTGCATGGAGGGAGGTACGCAGTTAGAAATACCCACACAGGGGCCCTGTGGGCGCTGCTGTGCCTGGCTGGGGTGCTTCTGTCCTGGAGGCCAGGGTCGACAAATTCCTGGGGTGTGGCTGACTGCGGCAGGTCACCGATGCTCAACACCAGCACTTCCAGCTGCTCCGAGCCTGCTCTTAACTACTGTTCTTGTTACAATATGAGCACAGGTCCCAGGGCAAGGGCCGCTGGGAACTTCTGGGCACTTACTCTGTGCCAGGCACTCTGACAGGCACTTACCTGCAGACTCTCATTTCATCCTCACAGTCATCCCGTCACACATCAGGATTTGGGATTTTCATCCCCAAGTACAGATGAGAAAACTGAGTCTCAGGTAACCCATGTCTACAGCCAGAAGGGAGCAGAGCCAGGGATCCACAGACCCAGGTGTATCTGCTGCCACAGCCTGAGCACTGGACGATCAAGGGCAGCCCCGCCTTCCCCATGCTCCCACCGGCCCCTTGCTCAACTGTCTGGTCTTCAAGGCCCAGTTCAAGGGCCCTGTTCCCTGCAGCACCTGCCAGTTCTCCCAGGTAATGCTCATGCCTCTCTCTTCTGTACACATACCAAAGAATGAGGGGTGTCCGGGCTGGGGGCACATAATTTGTCCTAGGGAGATGCAGACACATCCCCTGGCTCCTGTGTAGGCTCCAAGCCCAGGTCCCCGGCATGACCCCTCACACTCTACGCTGGTTCTGTCACAAGGTCTCCTCCTTTAACCTAAATGGGCCTCCCTTTCCTCATCTACCAGAATGTATCCTTGCCGGTGTCTTCCAGCTCAGAGCCCAGCCTGTGGTAGCCTCCCTCATGTCCCTCTGTGGGTGCCCAGAGAAGAATGTGTGCTCAGGAAATAGCAGGCAGCCTGTCATCACCATGGTCTCTGAAGCCCGTGGCGCGGGGTGGGGGTGGCTACAGCCATACCTCCAGTTTGAGGATCGATTCTCTTCCCCAAGTTTCTCTCGATCAGGACCGTGTCTGGAGCACTCAGCATGACTGGGCAGGGAAGAAAAGGAGCAAAAGCATGTCAGGCAGTGGGTACCACACACTGGAACACCATGGACCAATACTTGCTTCAGGTTTCCTTTTCTTTCTGTATAATGACATTAAAACAATAACCATCTCCCATTCCTGTGAATTCCTAAGAGAAAGGTCTTCTTGCACCCAAACACAAAGAACATAATATCAGGACAGAGCACGGTCCATGACTGAAAATTTTGCCTGTTAACAATTTTCCTCGTAACAGACAATGCCGTGACGGGCATCCCTGCATGCACCGAACATTCGTATAGCATTCTAGTTGATTTCTTAAAGAGAGTTTCTGAGATATGAGATTCCCGGGACAAGGAATTACCAGGTTGAAAGCAAAACCCCGCGTTTCTTGAGAACCCGCCCTGAATACATTTAGCTCCGTGAAAAATTCAACTGTGCTGCCCTCCTCTTCCTTGCTGGGTCTTGGACATCGCCTGGGCTGAGGCTGGGCGCAGGCAGCATGAGCGGAGTGCTCACTGGCTCACTGGCCGCCCCTAGGGGCAGCGGCTCTGGCAGTGGGGAGGGGCCCTGGGGAGCTACTCACTGACGTGTCTGGGGGCGATCCCAAGGGTCTGGATCCTCAGAGCCTGCTCACGCGTCTCAGGGATGCCGTCTAGAATCCAGCCCTAGACAGAAGATTCAGAGAGGTGCTCATCTGTTATTTTTAGATTTTTGGGGAATTATTTTAAAAGGAATATAATAGCTTTACAGAAAGACTAGAGCTTTTAAGACAAAACAAAAACTAAATGTTTATCATCGCTACCTCATCCTTCTTTAAAAACTATTTTGTAATATATTATTGTATTCCCTTCCGAATCCTATGTTGGTGATTATAATCATAACACACATATTTTACATCTTGATTTTTTCCACCACACAATAGCGACCACAAGCATCTCTTCATATCTGCACGGCTCCTCATTGTCCCCATTATGAATGGCTGCGCAGTGTCCCACCAAGAGAATGTACACAGCCACTTAACTATGCCCACGAATGAACATTTCAACTGCTAACAGCGTTCATTATCATAAATAAATCATAAATAATACCTCGATGATCATCTTTGCACATCTAGTGCTTTCCACATTTTGGACAATTTCCTAAAGAGAGTTTCTGAAATACGGGATTCCTGGGACCAGGGTGAATACAAAACCCCACTTTTGTTTTTATTTTCTGCCCCTTATCTCTGCAGGAACACCCCACTTTTCTTAAAAACAAACCCTGGATGATGATTCAGGTCTGCGACTAACCTGTTACGGGATTGAAATTCCTCAGACATCAGCCTCCTCATGGTACAGCTAGGGAACTGGTTTAGAGGTTTATTTTTACTATTTATTTATAGAGAGAGAACCTTGCTACATTGCCCAGGCTGGTCTTGAACTCCTGGGCTCGAGCAATCCTCCCGCTGCAGCCTCCCAAAATGCTGGGATTACTGGCGTGAGCCACTGTGCCTGGCCTTTACTAACTCTTTAAATCCAATTGGGAGAGTAATATATAATCATTGTACAGTTTGTGGAAAACACTGAAAAGGTGAAATAATAATAAGAGTCACTGATAATACCTCAGACCCAAACAAGCCACTGTCAACATTCTGGTATATCTCCTTCCAAGCAGCAAGTGCAGATACCTTTTTTCCTGGGGGCTGGGACTTGTGGGGGAGGGGAATCACACTGTACATACTATTTGGTAATTTGTTCGTTTCTAGCAAAAACATTTCATGAACATTTTTCCATGTCACAAAGTGTTCCTTGCGTAGAAGTTTTCATAGCTGCCTGGTACTGCATGAATTGACCTGATGTTCCCTGATCCCACGTTGTTGCTCGTATTTTTCAGCTTGATTCCAGTTTTCCACTATTATAAGCAATGTTGTATATGCATCTTGATGCCTGTCAAACATCCTCAGATAAATTTCTAGAAGCTGATACCTTCTTTTATGACTTTTGATACATTTTGCCACATCGCTCTACAAAGTGGCCCACCAGTTTATGAATCCAATGGCAACGCATCTGTTTCCTTGCATCTCTGCCAATGTTGGGCATTATCTTGGGGGAAAAAAAAATCTGTCCAGCAAAATACAGTATACCACTGCTGCTTTAATTTACATTTCTTTGATCATTAATGAGGTTCAGTATTTTTTTCCATATGTGTATTAGCTATTTGAATTTTTTTTCTTTTCCAAAATGTCTGTTCATGTCATCTACTTTCCTCTTGGGGTCTCATCCTTTTATTTATTGACAAGAGCTCTTTACATATTAAGAACAGTAACCCATTTTGAATTTTGGCAAACACTGCCACAAACCCCTTGAGGCAAACAATGTTGCCAACATTTTCAGCAGTTTGTCTTGCAGCGTTTTCATTTTGTGTGTGGTGTTGCTTTTAACACACCAGTTTGTGGCCAAATCAATCACTGCATTCCTCTTTGGATTCTGGCACTGTGTGGATGCACAGAAATGCCCTCCCCACTGCAAAAGCTGATAAATATTCACTTGCCTGTAAATCATGTTCTTGGGTTTTTACTCTTTACATGTAAACAGTAATGATTTGTGTAACAGAGCCACAGTTTAGTTTGCGAATGCTGTGGGGCTGTGATCTAATCTGCCTCCTTGTGGCTCACCACCTGTTCCAAACTCACTCACAATACAGCCTATCTTTTCCCCTCTGAGCACACTTTTATCACAGTCTAAATGCTGATATGACATTGGCTCTGGCCTCTTTCTGCTGGTAGTTTGTTAAATTCTTTTTATTTAACATTTAAATTGTTGTTATTTTATAAGTTACCATAATGTCTGGTAAAATACGCTTTCCCTTCTTTTTTTTTTTTTTTTTTTCAAAATAAGATCTTTCAGGTAAACATTAAAAATATTTTGTCAAATTCCCAAGTGGAAATTCCACTAGGATTTTGGAACAACAATAAATGCGTAGATCAATTCGCGACAAATGGACAGTATTAAGTCAACGCATTATCTTCTCATTTGCTTAAGTTGTTTTTTTATGTCCCTCAGCGATGTTCACATTAAACCATTTCTAAAGTCCTTTCAAGTCCCATGAGTCTAGAGTTACACACACACACACACACACACACAATCTAATGCTTTAAACTGGATGTCCAGATAAATTAGTAAAGTGAGCTTTGGAAGACTGAAAGAAAGCAGTGAATTGTTTCAAGTCTCCATTTTGCAGGAAGGGAGATCAGGCAACTGGGAGTCCATGCTGGGAGCCCCCCAAGGCATTACGAGACTCAGCTGCTCTAAGGTCAGAGGATGGTCTGATATGGGCAGACTCAGCGTCCAGGTCACTCACGCCCACACCACCTGATTGACAGCACAGTGTGGGCGAAGGTAAGAGATGTCTTTCTTTAAAAACAAAGAAAAAAGGGGTCTGGATGCAGTGGCTCATGCCTGAAATCCCAGCACTTTAGGAGGCCAAGGGGGGGGGGGTCGCTTGAGGCCAAGAATTTCAAACCAGCCTGGGCAACATAGTGAGACCCTCGCTCTACCAAAAAAGATTTTAAAAAATTAGCCAAGTGTGTTGGTGCACACCTGTAGTCCCAGCTACTTGGGAGGCTGAGGCAGAAAGATCCCCTTAGTCCAGGAATTTGAGGCTGCAGTGAGCTATGATCATGCCATTGCACTCCAGCCTGGGTGACAGAGTGAGATCTTGTCTCTTAAAAAAAAAAAAAAAGCCTACATTTCTTCAATATTAAAATATTTAGGTTCCAGTAGCCTCCACTGACAGTTAAAAAAAAAAGCTAAACAAATTCCAACAGCCTAAAGACTGTCGGAAAAATCCAGCAAGCTTTCATTAATTTCTTAAATTATACAGGAAGACTCACAGCCACGAACCCCTGGTTTCTAGAACTAATGAAGCAAAAGGGCAAAAAAAAATTTTAACAGCCTTTTGCTCCCTCAAGTCCTTGTTATAGCCAGCCAAGCGCTGGGCTGCAGCTCTTAGGAAGAGCAACATCTACAGATGCGAGCAGCTCCGGCAGAACCAGGAGACGCAGCGTCTGAGAGCTCCCTCACAGTTCCGGAAGCCGAGCCAACATTTTCTGAACTCTAGCTAAATTCACACCCCCTTATTTTTCCTTTATTTGGATGGGGAGGAACTGTGAGCCCACTGATTGCTGCTTCTAGTACTAGTAATTCTGTTTTGAGTCCCCTTTTGAAGCTGGAAGGTTGGAACTCCGTCTTTGCTCGGCACTGAGAAAGGCCTCTGCTTTTAATATTGCATTACTGAGCAATGATTATCATCTTGCCCATATATTTGCAGCAGGTATCAGTATGTGGTCCAAAGCTTTTAGAACTATTCAGGGGAACAGCTCTCACTGACTTTTCACTGGAGAAAGCGGGACTTCCAATTACACAGGAAAAATGCAGCAAAATGAGGAACATCTCCCTAATTAGCCTGGCCTCACTGGTGTGTCATTCTGGTGCAGATGTGAACATCTAAAAGGAAGAAGGTGGGGGGCTCTCGAGTGAGCCCTAGGCCACCAGCTCTCCAGGTCTGTTCTTTCTGAATTGGGGGGATGGTACGACCACCTGGGGCTAAGAAACAAGGTCCCCGAGGAAGCCCTCGAGCAGCACCCAGACCCCCTTAGGGCCGCCCCACATAGTATGGGGAATGCAGCCACAGAAGTTCCTTCCCCCTGCGCCAGCCCACACTGGTCCACACTGGCACACCTGGAAGGGAGGGCGCCTTGACCAAACCTCTGCTGAAGGCTGGTCTGTCCTACGGCGTCCTCGAGATGAAAGCTGCTGGCTGGGTGCTCAGAAAGGATCTTCTCTCCCAGAGCTCATGCATTTAAAGGGGTTATTTGCCCAGCTGCAAAATGGACTGCACGTTCATAGGGAAGCAGCAATTTTGGCTGGACGGACTTTTATGGCTGCAAATTCTGGCAAAGCAAGAAGTCATCAGTCAATACGCAGCACCAGACGACTGCCATGATGGGACATTAAGCCATTCCCAATAAGCCTGCATTTCGAGGTTCGCGGGTCTCACGTCCAGGAGTGGCTGGATGTGGAGATATCAGTCAATCCCTAATTAGAATACATTATCCATCTTCCTGACACTTCAGTGAAATGTCTATTCCACTCTGAGCTGCAGCTTTGTTCAGAGCAGGTTAATTGATATTCTGATGCCTTCGCTCACCATACCCCCGTGGCTAGGTTCTGTTTCATCACACATCAAAAAGGCCGTATGCTCAGGGCACTCCAGGCACCAGCGCAGAGCTGGAGGTCTGCACAGCTGCGAGGGGTATGGTATCACAGGAGGGACAAGCACTGAGCAGATGTCACAGATGAAAAAAAAGAAAAGAAAAGAAGCCCGCCAGCCTAGGGAACTTGGCGAGGCCCAGCAGAGCACGGCCTGATGCGGTAGGAGCCGTCCGGCTTTGTGCGAACACTGGCCTCTTTTGCCCTCCTGACTATTATTAAACCGCAATTAGCAACTTCACATGGGAAGGCTCTGTTGCCCTCTGGGCCTCTGCCTTTTTGATGCGTTCCCTTTCTGCTCCTCCCCTCTCCTCCCAGGACCAGAGCGTGGTGCTCCCCTGGGCGTTTCCCCCAGTCCTGCCCCTGATCTGGCTCCCAGCTCCGGCAGCAGACTCCACCGAAGGCATTCCCAGGAG